GCCACGGCTGGGGCTGCGCACCGAGACCCCCATTCCCCAGCCGTCTGTCTCTCACCTGCAGTCGGTCTGTAGATGTCGTTCGGGGCGTACATGGGCAGGTGGGCGCGGTGGTGGCTCAGGTAGCGCAGGACAGACTCCAGAAGCGACGGCGGGCTGGTTTTCTGCTCAGGGCGCTGCTCGGCGGCAGAGGGCTGCCCGGGCACCTGCAAGACAGAGCTGTCAGACAGAAGAACACGGGGGACACGGGGCACACTCTGGTGCCACGGTGCACGGCAGTGGAGACCGAAAACGACCTGAAAACGTATTGGGGTTGGGACATCAGGGACAGGGCAGTGGGGATGGAGTGGGGCTCTCACTGGTGGCACCAAGTGCACCCTGCAGCCAGTGGTGCTCGACTGTTTGTTCACCTCTGCCTCACAAATGACTGGCCGCAGGTGCAAGGGTGGTGTGGAAGGAACCCGTGTGGAACCCCTGGCTGTCCCAACATGGCCTGTCAGAGAGGATTGGCCAGAGGAATTACACACATTCCCCCCGCCACTCCGTGCCCTRTATTTACTGTGGCTTTTAACAGAGTCTCGGCATAGCCCAGCTGCAGCCAGAGGACCAGGCCATTATTCCTGTGGACGACAAGTGCTGTTCCGGAAGGTCTGGCATGGCACGTGTGCCCTCGGCATGCAGCAGCATCCAGCAGCTGATGGAGGTGCAGACCCCAGCCCTGCCATCTGCATGTTTGCATCGCCGGAGCTGCACACGCCAGCACAAACACATGGCTGTGATCCCCGAGGGGTAAACACGCCCTGCGCCAGCGGCCCTGCCAGAGCCCTGCGCTGCGAGGGCAGGCTCCAGTRACAATTTCAACACAGTCTAAATGCATGGTCCCTGTCCCCAGAACATAACTGGCTCTTCTATGCAGTTATTGCTTTGATTAGCAAACACTTCTRTAAATATTACCCCTATGGCATGACACTGATAACCACTTTCTTTGGAAACTAACCAGGAATATCTGACTCCTTTAAGCCCACAGTTCTTAAACATCTCTTTCCCTCATTTTTACACTTCATTAGTAATTTTTCTGCATGCTRAAATGAGCTAGAATATGAGCAACAGGAGGCAAAGACAGTACGTCTTTTACTTCTTATAGAAATGCAACCAGTCCTAAGGCATTTAAGAGATATTCCATGAGCACGTGGTACCTACTCTGCAGCTGGCTATGTGCCCAGAAGGAAAACCAAAAGAAAAGATATAAATRTGGCATTTAGTATATATAGTTAAAATCACTTTTAGTAAACAGACTTAAAATCACCATGAAAAAAAATATCTGAATAAAAATCTGAAACACCGAATTTTCATTTAGATGCCAATACCATCACCTGTGTCCATAGGAACAATCCTGACTCACAGAGCTGCTTCCAGTCCATGCAGGGAAATTCTCTGTGTCAGGACTGCTGCCACCAAGACAGGGTAAGGCAAGTGAGTCCTTAATTGGTAGGGCACCAATTCCCCTCTCTCTGAAGCTGTTCACACTTACAGCATATGAAATGTRCTTGAATGATGGCAAGAAAAACACATCCCATCAGGTCCCCCATTCTGCTCAGAACTTAATTTTGTACTCTTTTATAAATGTGTTCCAGGAGAACCCAAATTAAACTGCACCAAGGCCCTTTCTGGGTCARGACAACAGGAGGCAAATTGCTCTGAGCCCTTTGGGGATGAGGCAGGGCTGAGCACGTGTGGCTGCAGCTGGGACGCGGCAGCTTTGGGCTGTGGAGATGGCTGGRCCACGGGCTCCATAACCTCCCTTCCTCCCACCACCCTGCCTCCATTTGCACTCAGTTCTGTTCATTTTCTGCACAATTAAAAACTCTCTGAGCACATGTTTAAAGCCCAGTGCCATCACCTAGAGCCACATGGGGTTAAACAAAGGCAAAACCAGTGTGAGCAAGGGCAGGCTAGTGGATTGGGAGCACCAAAATCAGACAACAAATTCTGTTTGGGATCAGCCAGAAGTTCCTCAGAGAGTGGGGGGGCAGTTCTGGGGGCTGCTGGACACCTGCTGTTAGTAGTTCTCCCCATGTGGAGCACAGTAACTTTGGATTTTGGGCAGGCAGTTCCAGGCTGCTGAGGTTTTATGCATGTCTATGGTGCTGAGGCCAAAGCTGTAAACAGCATTAGCAAACATTTTAATTTCACCCTTATTCAGGAAATCCACTTATCACTKAAAAAGCCAGTTGCTTTTACCCTTTGGAGTACAAAAGCCATTCCCTGTGGGTAAGTGCTGAAAAAACTACCCACGGGCTCAGCTGAGACAGGTGTAAGATGGCCTGTAGCGTGTTCCTATTAGGAAACACTACTAAACCCAAGGGGATAGATAGACAARCCAGGCTCCAGATTCCACTGGGTACTTGTACTAAACTGCGGCTATAATGCAAAAAYGCAGTGAAGGAAAACAAAGTGAGCTCAGGTTCAACTGGAAAATTGAGAATATGCGCAAACAAGAAAACTGAACTATGTGCTGTACATGCTGACCCCCTCTCTRAGGTACACAATCTGCTCAGGCTTCCCCAAAGAGAGAAGTAAACAGAAACATAAAGCTTCAGGATAAAGATAGGAGAAGAAACCGAAGTGAACAACACTAACAAATTAYCTAAATAATAAAATGCACTCGCCAGTCATTTTTCTTACCTGTTCCGACAACAGGGTTTGGCGCAGTTCCTTCTGCAGATCAATAAACCGATCGTGAAAGATGGCCATGGACCAAGGTTCCCTGAAGTAGCTGGGTAAAAAAGAAGAAATTTAGTTATCTTGTGAACCTCTCATTAACCACTAATAAAGTATTTACCTGCTTTTTTGCCTTTATAAATTACAGTTCTGGACCCATCATGATCGTTTGTTCATAAAATGCCTCCTTGTAACAGCATGGTCAATCAATTCTTTTAATGGATGTTCCTGATGTACAGCCAGCTTCAGTAATTACATTTAAAGTGGCTTAATTCAGAGCTGTGGCAAGACCCAGTGAAGAATCCTGATTTTATCAGAATTTAAAAGCCTGAAGACCTGTAAAGAACGGTGTCTCCATTATCTGTCCTCATTTGAGAAAAGCAGATTGCAGGATTAACTGAACTGCTGCATAAACAAATTAAATTTGTGTAGACAATGACACAAATGTTGTTCATCATTAAGGTTTCTGGATTAATAAAAGCCAGAAAAACAGGCCACCACAGCGCTGCAATATGTTCTTTGCACGAGTGTGATGAAGCTAAATTGAACTGATTCTAAGAGGAAGCTCTTGTAACTTTTTCTTTCAGTAATAACATTCACAACAGCATTCTTCCATGAAAAGGGAGGAAAAGGATTGAGAGGACACTGCTCCCTGTAGACCCTCACAGCTGTAAATATAACCGGGGGCTACCAGACTACAGAGCTGTGATTTACTTCTCTTTATAATGAAAGATAATTTTTACAGCTTGGGCAAGATGCTCAGTGTGTAATTCTTGTTAATGCTCACTGTGGTCAGGAGGTGCCCCACACTCATCCTCATAATGACTAAGCAGATGTCAGTGGGATCACCCAGGAAATTGGGAGAGGGGGGCATTTGTGTGGTTGCYACCAACACTCACACTTTGGGAATGGCAGCAGGACCCTGGCACTGCCCTGAGGAGAACATGAAACTTCTCACCTGGTTCAGCTGTGAGCACCCAGATAAGGCAACATAACAATGCTACACAAATTTAATAATTCTGAGATACCTGTCTACAGAGAACCAATGTGCCGTTTCCTCTATGCAGATTTTACTTCCTCCTTGCCCAAGGGCAGGATTTCCCTTGCCCGCTCTCCTCACACCCTGTCCCATTAAAACACTCTGCACACCTGGCACAGCTTGGCTGGGCTTCCAAATGTTTGGCCCCTCTCTGCCCCAGCACCCCCATTCCCCTCTGTGCCAGGCTGGCTGGGGGTCCCTCCCAAAATCTGCATGGCCTCCAGCACAGCAGGGCTCTCTCCCACAGATGTTTTCACCGTACAAGTATTCATGGAGACTATTCCCAATACTGCATCCTTGCTATGGTAAGTGTTGCCCAGCCCAGGTGCTACTGGGATGCTTGCCTGCTCACTTGGATGTGCAGGTTAGAAAGGATGAGCTCGATTTTAAGGATCTTTATTTCAGTAACTGCACACCYCAAATTTGTGCAGAGAGCTGCAGAAAAACACAATATCCCTAAATATTTACAACCCCTTTAATTTCAGAAGAACAACCCCACCCAACACAAACTTTTAACTCACTGTTGATAATACACAGCAGAGAGAAAGGGAGGTGTTATACAAGAATACATTAAGGCAATTAAAGACTCTGTTTTTACTCATATGCCATGGTAAAAGCCATGTTCCACTGGCCAAATGTTTTGTCTTCAAGCTGGCATCTTAATTTTGACTATAACCCTGAGGAGACGATTTCTTCTCTTGACTGAGGCACACCTTCCATGTGTCTTACCTCACTTAAGGGACTTACCTGACTCACTGAGGTTTTGAATTAAATGCTGTTTATGAATGTTTCAGGGGTGATACCTACTCCAGCTATTGTTACCAGCTCCATCTACAACCACAATTTTAACTGTTCCTGTCAATTTCCACAGATTTGGAGCTCAAAATCTGAAACGTTTTGAAGCTCAAACCCAGTTTGGAATCTTTAATGCAAATAATAKGCCTATTTYTGGGGAGCAGAGAATGTCCTGTCCRTATTTTCTAGATAGGCTGCCAGAAGGAGATCCCAGTAACCAACATTTACTCCCAGACTTCCTTCACTTCCCTTCACCTGAAGAACACCAAGGGCCATTTGGAGATTCACCTCACATAAACAATTCACTTTCTTTGCTGGCTCTGTTCTTCCATCTATTTATCTTTCCAGTTTGAATCGTCTTTGTCAGGGGGCAACGGTGTTTTTGACAGAGCAGCTCTACATATGTCTGCTAAAGGGAAGCTTAATAATGAAAAACCCCATTTGAAACCAACAAGTTGACTTTCTGAGACTCATTCTGAATTTTATTACCACTTCAGCAGCAGTCCCTCAGGGCAAGCCGTGGAAGGCTTCAAAGTATAAAGCTCTTCAGTGTACGAGATGGAGCTGGCACGCTCCCAACAGGGGCTCAGCGGCTCCTCTGCTATCACGAGAACAGCATCTGCCACATGTGTTTGCACCATTTAGTCTTTCATAACCTGCCAGAGTGATCAGGCTAAATATGTACAAGATGACAGTGTTTGCCAGGAGCATAACGGGTGTGCAAACTTGGTCACTTCCTAGCAGGGATCCCTGCTGGAAGCCTTTATGCTGACAGCAGCAATAGGGGGAAGGTGTTTGTGACGGGTGGGATGGAATGGGCTCCTCCACAAGACAATGAGCAACATCCTTTTTGTTGCTAAGGAGCTCACCTTTCATTGACAAACAGYATTTCAAGTCTGCTCTGCCTCATTTGTGATGTGTAGCCTACATTAGATGAGAGGTGAGAGGAAGGAAATATTTAGTGGTGTCCTGTACAAAAGACACAGAATCCTTCCCTTTACAAGAGAGTCAAATAAAATGGACAGAGCTGAGCACTGCTAGCAAGTAAAAATGGAGCGTACACATGGCTGTCCATCCAAGAAGTGTCTGTAATTATTCTCCATTTCATTTGTAGGAACACACCACATTTAGAGAAGAAGCCTCTGCCCCTGTGGAAGATGGTTTTATGTTCTGGCAGTGAGGACCCAACACCGACCTGCCATCTGAATCAGGTCTGGTGACACAGGKTCTAGCACTGGCAGCAAGGTGTAAAAGCCAGAAAATCATAAAAACTGAACGAAAAACCTTCAGAATAACACCCTTGTTTTGTACAATGATTAAACAAAAAGCAAGTTATAAAGTTAAAAAATATATGAGTTAATTTCAGCTCTGTGGTACATCCCCCACCTGCCAGGGAGTTTGTCTATGCCAAATCCCCCATGCTCTAGCCCAGGGTCCAGTCCCAGGGATCAGTCCTGATGCCTGAACTGTGCCTGTGCTCTGATGCCTTCTCACTGCAAGAAGGCTGGGATGGGGAGGGGATTTTCCACTGCTCAAAGGGCACATGCCATCTCATGATGGCATGATGGTGTCCTTGAAAAATCTGTCTGCAGACTGGCTGGTGTGTCAGCGACTACAGTTTGGAGGATGTTCTTATGCCAGACAGAACTTCCATGGAAACAACAAACCCAGATTCAACTCATATCCCTCCTATTCCTATTCTTCCACCAACACACATACACTGAAGGGTAGTTCAGAAACTCCAACAGCTTATGACGTGGGTTACATCTGCAGCTCTCATTAAATGTCTGTAAGCAATTCTCAATACAGATCTCTTGAAATCCCGTTTGTCTCTTCCCAAAGCCATCCACAAGTCACCAGTGCCCTGCCCTCTGTGCCATTAAGCCCGGTGGCCCTCTGGTGAGGGCTGTGCCCTCAGCACCAGCGCTGTGAGCACACACAGAGCAGCAGCATGGCTCTTTAGTACACAATACAAGCAGAGCCATTCATCAACTTAATCTCCTGTTCATTTGTAAGGAGTGGAGAGTCTCCTTTCCTCTCTAGCTTCCCAAGCTTTGTACTACATGGGGAATTTTCAAGCTAGACCTTTCCTAGGTTTAAATTTATTTTTTAATAACAAATGTAATGCTTAAAATGCAAAATTCTCCAGGCTGTACCAGCTATGTCTGGAAGATACTTTGTCCCTTTTAAAATCCTCAGACSTCAAGACATACAAAGTCATTTCCTAGCACATGTGGATGGCTCTGGTGGATTATGGAAGTTTAAGAGTCTTTTAGTGGTGCCTTTGGCACATCATGGCCAAAGCCCCCTAGTGTTGGGGTGCTTCTGGTGAAAGGCRACTGCTACACAAATCCCAGGAATCACCTCAGGAGAACAAGCACAGGGGAAATGGAAGCTGTTCAGCTGACACAAGCTCAAGTGGAACACAATTACGCCAGGAGTGCCTACGCAGAGCAGGGACTTCCACTTGTCAGGAGTGGGGAGAGTAAAGTATTGTGAAGGGATGGGATGCAATGGAATTTTAATTTTCAGGCCATCCTGACAATAGTTCCCAACCACAGCCTGCAGATCCTGCAGATGAACAAAAGTCTTTTCTCCAACACAAGTACACAAGAAGGAACATCCCATCTTGTCAGGAAAACAAAAAATGTGTTGCTTTGAGAACAATATATGCAACACTATCTTTAAGACTCTTAATTACAAAGATATGGTAATACCACCTAAAGATACAACATATTTCCTGATATACTGTGGATAGCCAGACCAGGAATCATATTGTGTTAATTTAAAGACAATATAAATAAAACCACTGAGTATTTCCTGCATTCATCTGACCAATAATTTCAAAAGACAGCTTGTTTACATAGGTAAAAAGCAAGACCAATTTGTGTAAAGTGCCCTAGAGCACCACCTGAGAGAGCATTCTTCAGCACAAAGAACACAAAACATTCTCTGACCTGCAATCGCTTAACATTCACCTACAACTTCTGAACAGTCAAGCAGACGTGAACCAGCACCCTGTTAGTAGCAAGAAGGGTCTTTATTTCCTTGATCTGCAGTTTTGCTCCCCGAGCACCTGTTTGTCCAGGTATTTGAGTACCTCCTGTTAAATTCAGTGATTCGRGACTCTGTTACTGCTCTGACCCAATAGTAAGTGAAATCAACAGCCTTATGGACAACAAATCTGTGAGTGATTCCACTGAATAGATTCACAAAGTAAC